CCCCCCAAATAATCTCACCAATTGTATTTACTTGGGCCAATGGACAGTCAAATTTACCATCACATGCAAGGAGTCATAAGCAGAGCAATCCAAAGACGAGGAATGTATCACTCATACTTGTACCACTGCTTCAGGCCTATGAAAGTTGTCTGCAGCTATACGAGGCACGTTCCTGCTTTGAGGAGTTTTGCGTACCTATCTGTGTGTTGCCTGCTACTATTAGCAACAATGTGCCAGGCACAGACTTTAGCATTGGTGCCGACACTGCCTTGAATGCTATTGTGGAGGTAAGACTGTGTATCTTTTAAAAGTTAAGACAATAAAATGCATAAGATGAGGATACCTAAAGACCTAGTTACTAAATAATTCAGTTACTGTAATTTTCCTATGTTTTATAGCTAAAATGTTTTCCAAGACTGATTAAAGATAGAGCTTATAAAAATTAATTTCATTGAATGTTTAACTTCTGGGGATTCTGTTTTGCTATCTAAGACTGCTGCATTAGTGCTTAGGGCATTTTCTTTTACTGAGAATAAAATATTTTGCTTGGTTTGATTTTGTTTTATATCTTGTGTAGCTCTTCATCATAACTTAGGTGAAAGAAGAAAGCACATGTTTTATAAATAAATGCCACATTTATTGCATGGGCTGATGACTGAGCTCAATGCAGTAGAGCATTTTAAGTACATGGTTAACACTAAATACACGAATAATCCCATAGACTGCATTAGGCTTAATATATATAAGTGCCTATAAATGCATGCATAGTATAAGCGGTTCAGTGTGTCGCTGTTGCTAACTAAACAATATGAGGCCAGAACTTACTGTGAGTGAGTTTTCCATTTTAGTCAGAACAATCACTTTTCTAGTTTTAGTCTGCCATAGCTTTTTCCCTTGGGTACAACTGCTATATTTCAAGTTCTTTACTGTCCTACAGAGTCTGCTGTAGCCACACAAAAGGGAATTGAATTCAGGTCTAATGCAAACAAATTAGTAAACCTCTGAACAGCTCTGGGTTTTATCAAACCCCTTGTTATCGATCCACCTAACTAATTATGAAGTAGTTGGCCAAGAAAGTCAAAATAGAGTTCCAGGGCTTTGAGAAACACAGGTTTGTTTTTCTGCTCTGATACAACGTTATTTATTTATATAGAGTGAAAAAGCTCCAGCAGATAATTGAAAGACCTGTGTCAGAATATACTATGGCCTGGTCTTCATGAGATGCAATACAGCATCCCTGGGGCAAAGATGACCTAAGATGTAGTGTGGGTAAATAGTATCGATATGTTCATAGGCAGGAAACGGGTACTTTTACCAATCCATGAGCTGGTACCTGCTTCTCTACTTGTATAAATGTCAGGCTAAGTCTGATAATTAGGACTGATAACACTTCTAACAGGTACCTGTAAAAATGAAAACATGGAAACACAATGGAGAAAAAAATTATCGCATATATTGCTGCTTCCTGTCCTTACTAGTAATTTTAATTGCAATTTGTACGACTTTCAGTAATTCAGTAAAAAAGAAAAGCGGTTGTATCTGTTGAATTTCATTATGGTTCGAATGCTTAGTTTATGTAAAAAAAGAACACTTGATTTGGTGAAGTTCTGAATATCAGATTTTTCATGAAGCTGTCTCAGTTCATATGAAAGCTCAAATACCAGTGGAATTCTGAAGAGTACTCAAAAACATCACCATGCCTTCATGTTCAAAACTTCTGAAACCTGCATCAGGTGTTTGAACTTTGGTCATTCCAGCCTATGGAGTAGTATATGATTTAATGATTCTTTAAAATACATCTGTGTCATTTTTGTATCTGGGTATTTCTGGCTCAGTCATTCTGAGAGAGCAAGAACAGTAGAAAGTTTCTATTGTGTCTTTTGTATAGTCAAGGATAGAAATCCTTCTGAATAAATCTGAAGTGAGCAATCCCCAAAGCAACTATTGATTTGCATCCTTGCTTAAAACCTGGAGCTTCTCAAAAGGCAGAAAATTTCATTCTACTACCAGAAGCCTGAAAACGTTTTTTAGAAAGCTTGTAGTTTACAAATATTTTAGGTCTCTCAAAATTAAGGAAATCTTTGCATTCTTCAGTGTCTGAAGCTAAGGTGTTTTGGTTTGGGTGTTGTTTTGTTGTTTGTTTTTTTTTTAATAACGTAAGCTAAACACATATCCCTCCAGTTCCAGGCAGCTTTTAAAAAATGTGTTATAAGTGCTTCAGTGCTGCACCTGCCACTATTAAAAGTAATGGGGATTTTTATAACTTTATTACTGTTTACCATATGCCAGAAGCCAGTATTTTGCAAAAATTCTTATGAAACCATATCTGGAAGGGGAAAATAAAGTGCTTGGGGACATTGTAAAATCCAAGGCAGGTAAAAGAAGGCATCATTTGGAAAAAATGATTGAAGTTCAACATAAGCTTTTGTGATGTAGTTTGTTATGGATGTGCTTTCTGCTTAGGATAACAGAATGTCAATCCATATGCTAAATAAATTTGAATTCTGCACTTGTGTGTGTACATGTGTGTGTATGTATACGTATAACATGCACATAATGCAAATATATACATAAAATACATACAAATGAAACTACATGTATCTTTTAGTAGCTGGACCTAAATAAATACACTGGTTTTAGACCTTCAGTGCATTAAACATTATGTTAGAAGTTCTAGTTTTTTATTGTTTTTAAGTTTTCTGACATATCAATTCATTATTTGTTCTGTGCTCTCTTAGGTGTATTTTTAAAGACTGTATTGATCACAGTCTTAATTTCAGCTTGGAAGTATTATTTTCTGTTAGCTGAATGAAGGTTCTAGTTATAAATATCTGTGAAACAGAAATACCTGAAATATTACAGCATCTGCAATTACACATTAAGAAAAAATCAGTAAGGCATGGGGATCTTTTAATATTATCATAATTCAGGTTTCAAGATAATGAACTTCTCAGGTACTTTTATTTCTCTTTTTTTACTAAACAGCTGGTGTAGGGATGGTACATCACCTTCATAAAGTTCTTATCACCAAATGTGGTATAACTGGTTTATTTATTTTTAAGACAAAGGAGGAAATAGTATCTTTTTATTTGCTTTCTGAAAGGAAAATACATTATCTGATTACTTTTAAATAACTGAATGGTAAAAAAATTAATTCTAGGAAATTAATTTATCAAATAGCTTTTTGAGTATTATTAAAATCTGTAGATACATAATAACCTAGTTCCTAGATTTCTACCTTTTCCTAAGTTTCCTAGGTCCTACCACATTGGAGTTTTTCCTCTGTTGTCCCCCAGCAATCTTAGGCAGCTCTTATAAATTTGGTGTTAATTGGTGGCATGTAAGCAACAGATCTCTTTGTAGAGGACATTTGTGATGCTGCTCAGAGTAAAATGCAAGTGAGGATTGCAGTCTTTGTATATCAAGTATGTATCTATTCATAGAAAACCCAAAACATTAACAAAAATTCTCCAGTAGTGCTTGAAAGAATTATATCTATGTGGATATGACTATTGTAAAGTAAAGAATAGGGCAGTACGTGCTCAGGACTTTTAAGAAATTGTAACTGTTAAATGTGGTTGGCAATTCAGTGAATTTTAAAATCAGTATTAAGAAGAAATAAACTCTTCAGTAATGAACAGAGTTAAAGCAGAGAAATTTACTATATCAGATCTGATTAAAAAGCTCCATTATATCTATTTGTATCTGTTAGAAAACTATCACAACTTTTAATTTCATGCCCAAACCAAAATTAATTCTTGTTTTAGTATTTGCAGGAAGCAAATAGCTAAGAGTTGATATTAGCAAAACATTTTGACTGTGGTGTTCAATGTATGATTTATAATAATTCCTTTATTTGGTTATTATAGTCGAATGGGTTATGCTATTTTGTGTTTTTTTTAAATGTATTTTTTGTAAAATCTTTAAATCCTTCTACCAACACAAAGTTGCATGACATATAAAACCATAAAAATTCAGACTTTTTTTATTTAAACTTGCAATATCTTGTCTTTGACTAGACATGTGATCGCATCAAACAGTCAGCCAGTGGTACCAAGCGTCGTGTATTCATCATTGAGACCATGGGAGGTTATTGTGGTTATCTGGCTAATATGGGGGCCCTTGCGGCAGGAGCTGATGCTGCTTATATCTTTGAAGAACAGTTTGATATTCGAGAGCTCCAGGTATACATCATTAGAAATGTTTTCCTCATTTTTAGGTAGATCCTAAAATTGTTGTACATATATATAGCATAATGTGTGTATTTGAAGTAGATGTCTCGTGTAACAAAGTCAAAAAAACCACTTTAGATTGTATCTAAAAGCTATGCTTGTCAGTAGCACTTTGATTTAGTTCCAAGTTCTTCTGCCGTATTATATAAAGGAACATATACCCAGTTATTCTGGCATCAAGTTCAGTTAAATGACAAAATTATTGTATAGGACATTAAACATTGCTAGATTAATTGTTTCATTTTTATTCTTTTGACCGAAATTCAAATTACATGTAAATGAACAGACCTGGGCAGTTTTATGAAAAACAAAAATAGGGAAAAACAAGAAGGGAATACTTTTTCCATTATGATACTGCCTCATCTCATTGTTTTAAAAGGCTATTCAGGTCAGGAACTGAACAGTATGTAAGGTGCATTAGATACTGACTTTGATACCAGAGCTATTCAGAGCATGTTTGGAGGCATTACTAAAATAAAGATCTTGGGATTTAAGGATTACAGATTAGAGTGTAAGCTGATATGGTACTTCTCTACTATGAGGATTTTACACTTCTGAGGTAGCTGGTGCTAGCTGTGGTCACGGACAAATACTAAAGCTAAAAAGATAGAAATTTTTCCTGAAAGGAATACAGATGTGAAACAAATCATAATTCCTCCCCACTCATTTCTCAGTGGCTTATATTCTTCATGTCATATATGGGAGTACCAGCACCGCAGTACATCACTGTATCCATAAGAAGATTTTTGCAAGGACTGGGAGTAAGGGCAAGCTGTGCTCTTTTGTGGTAATTTCTATATTTTTATGTATATCGGGGTTATCCAACTTGATCTCTACCAGTATAGCATATGAAAACCAACTTCATGTTGCTATTAAAATCAGTTATTTGTGGTGTAGAGGAAGAAGTTAGTTTTAGCTGAAGGAGAATAGCCATACACAGTGTATTATCCTGGATCTCCAAAAACCTATTGGTCATCTGAATTTGCATGTAATACTTTGTGGAATACTTTACAGAAGTTCTCAGGATATGCAGGCTCATTGAAGTTATATTAGAGTTTCGTATGTCTTGTTAAAAATACTTCTGGTGTTTCTAGGCTAATGTGGAACACTTGACTGAAAAAATGAAAACCAGTATCCAGCGTGGTCTAGTGCTGAGGTAAGCAACAGTAGTTTTAATAGAAGGTATCAGTGATGCTGAGCACTTCCAGCCACATAGGTTGTTTGGCCTCTAAAACACTCTTAAGTCTGTGTTCCTTGATTATTCCTTTAGCATGAGATTTTTAATAAAGCTGTTGCTCCAGAAGGCAATTCTGGGAGCTGTCTGGAAGCTCAAGTTCTGAACTTCCTTCTTCCTATGTAAATATATTTGCTCTATAACATTTTGTCCTATCTTCAGCCTATTTTCTCATTAGCTTTGTCTTGTAGATTCTTTCTTACTAAAGATAGTTTGAAAACTAGCACACATGTGTACAGATATAATATGGCCTTTACTATAAAAGTCCTGCTTAGATTTTAGGAGATAACACAAAATAAAATATGTTTCAAAAATCAAAACATTTAAAATATGTTGATCAGCATGTTTTAAGATTATACCTTCTTAGGCAGCCTGAATCAGGCTGTATCTTCTCTTTCTTGAGCATTTATTTTCAGTCTGTCAAATAGCAAAGGGCTGAAAAGGAATACTACAATAAGATGTATGAGGATACCATTATATTTGTTCAGGTTCTACTAATTATATGACTAGGGTGAAAAAATATCCTATGATTGCAATATTGGTAAGGAACAGCTCAGGTACTATTCATTATCTGTGCTTTTATAAGAGGCAAAATGATGACATTGAGTGTTCGTGACTTCTTGTTTTAATGCAGGTTTTCTTCTGCATAATTAACTTGTCAGACCTAAAATAATATTTTTTACTACTTTATTTAACAATGAATTTCAAGTGACCTCTCAGTGATGTCAGTGTAATAAAAGTAATGCAGACTTCAAAATCATGACCATGTTACATGGAAGTGAACATTTGTGATTAGTTGAAAATATCCAAGCTAGGATTACTGGTTTTAAGAAAATGGCAAAACATTTGTCATTCAGTAGCTGTAAAGACATCCACTACTTAATAGTAAATTTCCTAACTGTATCTGGCCTTCTTTATTACAGAAATGAGAATTGCAATGAGAATTACACAACTGACTTCATTTATCAGCTGTATTCTGAAGAAGGAAAAGGAGTGTTTGACTGTCGAAAAAATGTATTGGGCCACATGCAGCAGGTAAAAATGACCTTAAAATTACAGACAAGCTTAACTGCATATGAACAAAGAGCATACTTTTTTCAAGCATTTCAAGCAAGTCAAATTTGGGATTAAATTAAAAAAACAAACAAACAAACAAACAAAAAAAAAAACAAAACACCAAACTGGATTTTTGTTTGTAGGTAACTCTAAAGTTTTTGTTAGCATTATATTTTATGGCAATTCCTTCCTAAAAATCTAGGGAAAAAATGCATTAGGTTCTTAATGATTTTCATTTTTATTCCTCTCCTGTCTATATTAATGAACAATTATACTTTTTAAAATAAATATCACAGCTATCTTCTTATTATTGTAAGATGTCCTTAGAACACACTTATCTGCCCGTCTGTAATGTATCTGGTTTCTAAACCCTGAGAGATACGAGATTTCATTAAGAAAGTATGTGCCGATGGATTGTTCTTGTAGAAAAGACAGTAGTGAGCCACTCCTTGTGGTCTTTGTACCTTGCGTCTCTTTATCTCACTATACTGCTTGTTAGTGGACAAACAGTAAGTTTCTAATTAGGCTACACTAGTCACCAAGGCTGAGGTAGAGTAAAAAATACATGTACAGCTAAATTCCTTGAGTACTAGTAGTGAAATTACTCCCTCTCCTTTTAAGTCATTTTAAGTTGTATGTATATTCCCCTTACTCATATATTTTTAGATTATTCAATGCTGAGGTTGGCACTTCCTCCATAAAATTTAGCAAAGTTTATTTTGAAGGTTCAAGACCAGTATTAGTCAAACAATCTATTTGGAACTATTTGGAACTACTTCACATTATTTCAGTCCCACGTGCTGCATTGAAGCTGGACAGAAAAGTCACTTCATATAATATAGACAGAGAATTAAAAAAAAAAAAAAACCAAAAAACCCACACCAAAATTACGTGTTCCCAGAACTATATAAAAGCTGCTGTAATATGTGGAAAGCAAGCAGCCTCCCCCAAAAACCAAACCCAAACACCAAACCAAAAAGCAATTCCTAGTCTAGGAAGTCCTAATGCAGTTTTTTCATCTTAGTATCACATACACATCATTGTGGCCTTCCTCATTGTAGCTGCAGTGGAGATCTGTGCTTCCCAGATTAGTCTCAGCACTAAGGTTTCTTAGGCTCCTTCTGACACCCCTCTGTCAACAGTTTTCCTCGTTTCTATTATGTTGAAACTAGGTTGCCCTGTGGCAGTGTGACAGCTGGGCAGTGCTTAATGATCAGCACTAAAGGAAAGTGGAAGAAGGGAAAGCAGTGCCCTCTTGTTTATCAAAAGTATTATTGATTCAGTAAGAATTCTACAGGTGCTTAACACAAATTTTAAATGTTTTAGCTTGATTTGTGTGGTGGGGTTTTTGGTTTGTTTATTTGTTTTTCTGAATGGGGGAAATGGAGATAAGAGCAGGCCACAAACAGAGATGACGAAATAAAAAGATACAAATACTAGTTGGATAACTAAACTAACCTACAAATTTTCACATAGGGTGGTGCACCTTCGCCATTTGATAGAAACTTCGGGACAAAAATTTCTGCAAAAGCTATGCAGTGGATCTCAAAAAAACTGAAAGAAACCTACCGAAAAGGTGCAGAAATATTTGGTGCTCTTTCTTGTTACTGTCTTTGATTAGCTATTGATATATGACTACTCTACTATGCAAACATGAATGTATACTAGTTTGTTAGTCAACATACTTCTTTCCCTCATTTATGTTTTTATTATTCAGTAGTGCCTTGCTGTGCTTCCTGCTGTAAGAAGATATCCCCTCAAATGAGGTCAATAAATCAGATAGCTGTTTTCATGTCTTTCTTTAAAAAAATGCTAGTGTGATTGCAGTTTTTCATGCATGAAGGAAATGATGGTTATATAGTTACATCTGTTCTTCCTTTTTGTTTCATGGTGGCTACATGGGAGACAGAAGAAGGTAATATGTCTTCTTTGGGAATTTTTGTAAAGCATTTACTAAAATCTAATTTAAAACTGGATGTTAAAATTCAGTCTTATTGTTGCTTAATTGCACTGTATTTTACCTGCTAATCACCAAAGCTAAACTAAAAAAGTGAAGATCACTTAACCCAATTAAAGTACTAATTGATGTTTTATCATTACACTGAATGTTCAGTAACTGGAATTAAGCTATGTAAGCTTCCTATTCAGTTTAATTACAGAAAAAGGGTATTTGCCTTTACAAGTGTGATTAAGAAAGATCCTGAATTATTTAATTCTTTTTAGGAAAAATATTTGCCAATACCGATGACTCAGTCTGTTTGCTGGGAATGCGTAGACGCAACCTTGTTTTTCAACCTGTGGCTGAGCTCAAGACTGAAACAGACTTTGTGTATGTATACACTGCTTACATTTTAAACATCTCAACACAGGCTTCCTTTCACCACATCAAAGGAGTAACTTCTCCCCAGTGCTGACACACAGCATTTACCAACTGTTTTACTTCACTTTTTGTTGGCCTACATTCAGCCAGTGATTCTCTTTTTGATTGTTCATTTGTCTTTTCTAACAACACCCTTCATGCTTTATCTTCACCCTCCTTGTACTTTGAAATCGTTCATTATGAATTCTGGGACTCCACTGTTCTTTTAAATAACTATCTCATAATTGTCTTTGCCCTAATGCCTACAGAATTACTTTACTTCTGGTACAAAGTAGTGGGACAGCGCTTCTTTGCTAAATTTGGTATTATGCTTACCTATAAAGCACATCTTCCACTAAAGTCCATTCATTCCTTCAATATTCTGCCCTTATTTCTCCCCATTTTGGGTCAATATTTATATCCTGCTATAACTATCAGTATCTGACCCTATTTATAAGGAAGGTTATGTACTGTTAGTATTGTCACATCTGTTTGTTTCTGCCACTGAGTAAACCACCTTATCCTTTTTTCCCACCACACCTGGTACAGACACAGGATTCCCAAGGAGCAATGGTGGCTGAAGCTGCGACCACTGATGAAAATCCTGGCCAAGTACAAGACTAGTTACGATGTTTCAGATTCAGGCCAGCTGGAGCACGTTGCTATGCACAGCCCCAAGGAAGCAGAAACTGGAGCCATCTGAAGACATCACTTTTAGGTTACAGTAATAGATGCACATTGTGAGTAACAATGCTTTAGAATCGTTACAGCTTTGTTTTGTAACATTTAAATTATTGTACCAGCACTTTATGTGAAACAAGATATTCAGATGTCACAGGTTTTGTCCTGTATTTGTTACATTTGAAACAAACCCTAGCATCTAATAGATAAGCACCATTTACTGATACAACCCTTAAACAGTTAAGTGCAACACTGTTCTATGCACTCTGTAAGTTACTCATTACTGCACTTTGTTTCAGAGTACTTACACCCAAAAAATAAGTGTAGATGGCTAGCTTTGTGTTGAGTTACAGGATGTGCTTAATGTATCTGAAGTGAAATAAAATACTGTTGCAAACATCATGAGTTGTCAGAAATTGTATTGACCTGCTTTTGAACAGATGAAAAGTCACAGCAGGGCAAGGGAAAACTGGTTGTTGTTGCTTCTTCAGGATTAGGCTAGAAGTCAGGAAACTTTCTCCTTCTACAGGGATGATAAAACTGTTTTTGGATGGGGGCACTTTAATAACTTGAGATTCAGAAGACCATAATCTGGTCCTTGCTTCATGTTTCCTTTCTCTCAGTTTCTTCAAGTCTTAAAAAAAGCCCATAATGATGAAAATGGATAAAGCTTAATTTTTGAAATTAGGCTGACAAGCACAGTCAAAAATGTTTCCTCATGCCATCTTATCTGTTAACTAGACCTTGACAAACAGTTAAAGACAAGACTGTGTCATATCAAAATATGACAATGGTGCCCAAACTGGCAAGGTAAGTTGAAAAAATACCCTGTACCCCTAATTCATTAGTGATTTGCCCACTGCCCTGTAATTTATCACAAACTTGGCTTGATGGGAGGTGGAATGTACTGACACAAAGCTCCTCTACCTGTTGGTGGCTTACACAAAGGAAGCTGGAATTACCACACCAAAGAATGAAATCTGTCAGTATGAGATAGAACAGTTCTTTATATATCCAACAGCAGACATGATTTCAAACAAACACAATTTAATACTCTAGAGTTTTACATATACAAAAATATTTAATTTATATAGTATTCATATGTGATTGGAGGAGTGAGTCTTCAGTAAAATATTATGGTCTGTCTGCCATACAGAACATGTAATTCTTGCTCCAACTACTGCATGGTTAAAATTTTTCACATAGTTATTTCAAGAGAGACAGCTTTTAACTGGTTTGTTGGACATTGTTAAAAGCAGCAATGAACTTATGTTCATTCACAACATGAACTTATGTTGGACCATAACACTATGAAAAGTTACTTTAAAATCCTAATTATATAGTCACACACATTTGGCTTGTTTTATATTAGTTTGGATGTTCAGCAGCAATTCATCGTTTGACCCATGAGGGATCTTTGGTGATATCTGCATTTTCTGGGCCAAGTACAGCTTGACCACGAGTGCTCTTCCCAACTGCAAGATACCTGCAAGAAAACACAGAAGCAAATGAGAAGCTGCTGCATTCAGTTACCCGTAACTCTGCTATACAAGTTAAAAACATTCCCATTTCAGGAAAAAGTACTGTTTGATACATATACCCCTTGTTTGAATTTACAGCATCTTTCGGATTTACATTTTTTCCCTAGTCATCACAATATAACAGTCGCCTAAGGCATGGCCCTAACTAGTTCTCTCCTTAACCTTGTATTCTTTAGTAGTGGAGTTCTTAAATCTCAAGTGGAATTCAGAAGTCTAAAAAAGCACAAAATGTTATGATTCTATAAGAACCAGCTCATACAGTTACAGGAGCTGGATGTCCGAGTACACTCCAGACATTTTCTGGGCCCTTCAAAAGTAAAGCAAACATCTCCCACAAATTCAGAATGTAGGGGGGAGTTACATCTGCTAAAATGCAACAAGCAGGATGTAATTAACATTTCTTTCTAGGTTACAAAAGCAAATAGTGAAAGCAGTACAAAAGGCCAAGACAAGAAATCCAGTTTATTACGATAACTTTCAAACTGCTTTCTTCTTCAAATTAGGTTTTTGTTCTATTTTTCCAGTAAATACTTTCAGAAATTGAGCACAGACTTACTTGTTTGATACATCAACCAGGTTATCACTGCTGACAGCAAAAAGTTGTTCTCTGTGGGACTGCTTCATTTCATCTGAAATCCCATATAAGAAATGATCCATTCCTAGAGGAAAAAAAAACACAAAACAAGAAGAGAGACTACCATCAGGCCATTGTTCTGAGATAATATCTGTTAACCAACTGTCAAAGGTTAGAACTGGGTAAATTAATTTTCTGAGGTAGTAAGTTTCCTATTTACGGAAAAAAAACCCACACTCCTATTCTGGCAAGTGATTTAGTTTGTCAAAAATCTAAATGTGACAGTGGTCCAGGAAACCTAAACAAGATTCATTCTAAAGAGTCTCAGTACTTTCTAACAACATTTTAGCCAAACTGCATTTCATGAAGCTTCTATTTTTACTGTGGGTAATAACAACAAACTTAAAATTTCCAATCAGTTGTAACATACATGCAATACAAAAGTTTGATCATCTTTTTGTGCTACACAGACATCTGCATATGAAAGCTTTAATACTTTTGTTGGAATACTTGCCTACAGTATCTTTGTACTAAAATTAGTATTACAGGTCTGTGAACAAGAAGAGAACTCCAAAATAATCAAAGAAAAGCTTTTTGTCATGCAAATAATCATGGGAAAAATAGTGGCTTGGGAGGGCATCTGTCAACTAGTCCAACCTCCTGCCCAAAGCAGGGCCACCTTCTAAGGTAAGGTTGTTCAAGTCCTCCCATAGGGCCGAATGATCTAATTAACAGTAGTATGAAGGGACAGGTATTTCTCTCTGCAGCACTTTCCAGCCTACTGAACAATGTTCTTCTATTCAGTGTTTCACTAAATTTGCCACAGCTCTGTTAAGATGCCTGTTCAAATACTGAAGAATGTAAATCATTACTCTCACAAACACCAACATTCAATAAGCATGCACTTCACCCATAAGCATCGAGAACTGATTACCTTTTTTCCATTGCCCAGACCAAAACCAAGTTCTGTCAGCTTCCTTTTAAGTTTTTCTTGTTTCATAAGTTAATGCTAATACAAGTACATATTAAAATAATGCTAATTTTAATCTTCATGTATATAGGAAGGAACGTATCTTAACTAGAGAAGTTTTGCACTGAAATTAAGCTGAGAATAGGGGAAGGAGGAAAAAGCAAGGAAAGTGAAACAACATGTCAGCAACTGAAAAGATGGGAAGATAATACCAAGCCATCGTAGGTATGCAGATATGTAAAGAAGATAACACCCTCCTCCGTAGCAGACAGACTTTTATGCTTTAACTTCTTCAGAAAAAGTATGCACAAAAGGTTAGTCAATATGCATATTTATGTCTGGAAGATAATCCTTCAGCTTTTTTTAGATCAGACCAGTATTTATTTTTATTTGCTTGCATTTAATGCCCTTTCCAAGCCTAAAGTTTCTTTAATCTGCCTCCAGATCCTAGCTGTATTAACCTGACATCAAGGAGCAGTATGAATATGAAAACTTCAGTAGAGAGACTGAATGCATGAGGTACTTAGGAAAGGGGGCAGCTGGAACTGACTGTTTCATTGAAACCACAATTGTCTTACATCTATCAAGTATGAATTTTATCATATGATACAGCTGAGCAAACTATTTTCTTCCCTTTATTCTGAATTAAAAATAAATATTGGCAGTGCTGTGAGGCTGGTGAAAATATACCTTTATCTGAAGGAGCTACTGGTGCATCTACAGCAGCAAATACTGCTAGCTTAGCTTCATCGATATCTTGTTGTGTGAATTCTCCAGATTTGGCCCATTCAACTGCTTTTTCAAATGTTTTCAAGGTGGCTAATGAATTTGGGTCTCTTAGAAGAAGAAAAAAAAAGTAAAATTAATTATTTCAGTCTTACAAAATGAAAAACTAATTGCTTTGCTCTCATTCCATTCATAGTTTACTATCCATCACAGAAACATACATACATGGGGATTAAACTAAATGATAAACTTCCTTTTTATGTACAAAAAGAGGTTTTGGGGTTGTTTTTTTTGTTTTTTTTTTCCAGAAGTGTTATAAGCCAGGAATAGTTTGAATTTTAGATACCATAGGTGCAGCAAGTTCAGTTGCCTAAAAGTAGTTCGAAGACAGTGTGCAGAGAAAAAAAAAGATGGTAAACCAGGACTGTTTACAATGAGCTATCAATCTGCTGCAACAGCTTAGTATGCATAATTGTCATTAATATCAACAATAGTAATACTTATGATATGCCATATCTTCTCTAAGTTGCTTTTCCTGCTACACATGCTTTTGCTCTCTGTAAAACAGGTGCAACAGGTTAACTACTACTGAAATACTAACCAGGACAAGTTCTACCATGTTGAAGCTTCATAGCAAGGCAAGGCTGCTCACTTTTTAGCTAGGAATCCTGACCAAGTACTGTGCTATACTGCCTTTGGTCTAGCAAAATGATTTAAGCCAGGACTCTATGTGACATTTTTAGTGGGGATTATAACTAGTCTTTAATACCTCCCATCAAATTACTCAAATTTCACTCAAAAGCGCTTTGGTAAGACCAATGCAAGGTAACTGTTCTGGACTGCTAAAAAAGTGGAAAAGGAGAAAGTAGTTCTAGCTCATCACCAGCAGTGCTTTCTGCTGAATCTCTGATAATTCCAGCCAGTCACCAAAGGAAGCTGCATATTTCCAGTCTCAGGACCTTAGGGAACAACATTCTACTTCCTAGTCTAAAATTGAGACTAGTCTTGAATTCCCTTTCTTAGGGCCCCCTCAACCCAGGAAGAAACAAGTGAAAGCGAATTTTACTTAAATCTGGTACCAAGACAGTAAACTTCTAAGCACCAAGACACAATAATGGTTGCTACCACCAAAGATAAATTAGGCTTTCCCAAGGACAGAAACCAGAGAAAACAAGAAGTTATTATATACCTTAAGCAATTAATCTCAACATCATCAGCACCGAATCACTTTCTGTTATTTTGTTCTTTTTGTTTCACTTAATTTTGAAAGAGCTACAACTAAGTCAAAAATAAGAAACATGCAAGTGTAATCAGTGCTCCCCTCAGACATGAACAGGAAAGAAGGAACCTACTGTTACCTGTAGGAGTAGAAAGTAAATATGCCGTTGTGACTAAGTTTAGCACCTCCACCATAAGCCCCTCCTTTCTCTCTGATTTCTCTATGTAAGAATTTAGCTGTCATCAACCGTGCAAGAATTCGAAGGCTGTGATGAGAGAAATATCAACAGCAAAGATGTTAAATGAATTGGACAACAGTAATATTCTCAGCTTCCTCTAAAGTTCACAAAGATCCCCATTTGCAATGCACTGT